CGAAGACGCCTGAGCTACCTTAGGTGATACTCACTCACCCACTGTCAATCGAGGACGCCTGATCAGAGCCAAGACAATTTGTAGATATACCACAAACAACATGGTAAACGCGACCGGGGGATTTTTATTAGCCGCGTCTTTGTGGAGACAAAGCCGGACGATAGATCCCATCTAACAGACGATTATTGTACCTAATTCCGGTTAGGTATACGAAGCACAGTAGCCAACATCAACTGTTTGCTGAAAAACTTTGATCTTCTATGCGGACGTTACCCCCGCCTTCTCTGGCTCACAGAACCAGTCAATGCGAGCGATAAATGGGGACCTGTATCAGCTCGGTGCACTACGCAACACTGCCGGCACTTGTCTCGTCGATGGTTGGTTCGACAAACTTTTTTGCAAACAGCCTGCGAGGATCTCTTCGTCCTTATGCCCATATCCCCAACTACCGATCTTCTGATTAGATATCGGTGTTGTTAAAATAGCTCGCGAGAGAGTGTGTTTAAGGAGAGGAAGCAAAACAAAAAAAGAGAGAGAAGGTAGCAATAGGGAATAGATAAACAACTATGTGTTGCCGAGCAGGATGCCAATAGGTAGACAATAAAAGCATGCGACAACGACAACATCAATTAATTTCGCACCGTCTTCGGCAGAAGAGCCTAGAATATGCCCGCGACCCACCCACGGCTCTTCTCTTCTCTGGAACTGCGATATTGTTGTTTGTGGGGCACAAGAACCCCGACCCAAACAGAGTTGCTCTCTAAACGAATGATGGTGACTTTTTCTGGCATTTTTAGCTCATGCACCCTAATACCGGGACGACCCAACCATGCTAACAACGCCTACTTTTGTACACTTATGTGACCGAAAGTACGAAGTAGTCAACTCGGCATCGTTCGATTTTAGATCCTTCGCCGACTACCCATCTCGCAACATCGCCGTTTCGGAGGATCAGGAATCACCATCCCAGCTGGTGTAACCACGCTTTCGGTTAACGCTTGACAGGCGGAACAGGCTGAACTGCTTAAGCAGATACATCAAAGTACCTGCCTACAGTACCTATGTACGAAAGTAGTTGTCCCGAAAGGGACCTACTGCTGGAATTCTAATGGGCACCCGACTGACTACGCTCATTTGCCCCAGCAATTGGCCGTCGCCACGCGACTCCCCCTCAGCCCTCAGGTGAGCAGCGCCACAGAAACAGGCTTTTTGAGTTAATGCAAACCCTGGCACTTGCACCGAGGCCCTCAAGGATTCTCACGCAATTGCCGGTTACATACTTCGTAATAAGATTTTTTTTTCCTACCTGCGTGTCGGGTGTCCCTTGCATACCACCTATCAGGAGGCCAAGAGCTTTGAATGTTTGTGTGAGAAAGAAAACCCCCGGTCTCGCGGGCCTCCAATGCCTTTTCGATGATCTTCATATTTCCATGTATTAAGATGCACACCAAGATGCCACGTGAGCATGTTGTATATCTCTCCCTTTCATTCTGATACATGGTGGGAGGCGTAGATCGGACCGCGATCCCCAGTTGCAGGTAAATAAATGATGGTGAGTGAGAGTTCTGAGCTCTAGCTCGGAGTTTGGTATGTATGTACACTAGGTTAACCTAGTGAGTAAATAGATAAACAAGTGAGATGATGCGAACACAATAAAACTCAACATATGAGAAATCATATATTATTCATCATGAGGCTGTTGCTAGCTTTGGTGAGCAGTCGCTTTTCACTTCTCAAAAAACGAAGCACAGCTAGTATGCTGATCATAAATTGGTACCCGAATCTTCCGAGCACGAATATAGTTAGACTAAAATGGTTTGGTTGTGCTGGACGTGATGAGAACCATCGTGTTACACGCAATATGTCACGCCCCCATCATTTACGAACTCGCATTCGCCGGCAAGGGGAGAAGAGGCGAGAACCTGTAGCAAATCATGAGATGGTTGTTGCGGTGTGCCCTTAGATGGATGGCCTTTTTCAACTTGAGTCACTGAGTGATGCTGGGCTGACTCAGCCCCCTCGCCCACCAGCCCTTTTCTTCTCCCTCGCATTCAAACCGGAAATCAGGCAGATTTGTTTTCTTTTATAGTTACCTATAGAGGTAGTCTTATCAGGGTTGGAAACTCGTAGTCAGAGTTTGAGTTGGAGGGGTACTGAATGAACTATAACCAAGCGAACAAGAAGGCGAAGAGAAGCAAACGACAGAAGTTATATCGGCTCTTAGACAAATAGAAAAGACTCGAGAATCGTTATATCGGATTATATATATTAAATCTCGGTCATGAATCCCGTGTCAATGGATTCTGTCATCCTTACACCAATGACTCCAGCTCCAACAACATGCGCGTTGTCATGAGGAGTCACCAAGATGAGGGGGGAATATCAGGTCGCTAGCGGAATAAAAAAAACATCGTCTATGTAGCACAACTCCCAGCCCAGCATAGAAGTAGCACCAGATGACTCGATAAGTTCTCCAACCCCCCGAATAGGTATGTGGCTCTCCGTCGTACATGATCAGATCGCCTATCTGGTTTGCCAGGAAAAGAGACGAGCGGCTCCCGGCCTACTAAGCAATCAATCGCTTGGGCAACCAGGCACCAGAGTAGATACTGAGGTTTCGTCGTATTGCCGTGTCGCGATTACACAAGGGGAGGTATTATTAGTGACGGTGTAGACTACCGAGTACGCTGTTATACACGTGCTTCTTGGGGCTCTCTCACTTCCGATTTCCCAACGGGCTTATTGGTGTTACTCCATCGGTACCCGTGAATGGGCAGGCAGGTAGGTATGTAGATAGACGAAGCGAAGAGCGAAGCCGGCCTCTGGCCATCAGTTCCGCAGCCTTTGCGATCGATTGATATTTTTTGGAATACTTGCCGAATAAACATTATTTCCGGTTATCCGCCATTAGGCCCATACAGCCCACATATTTTAACCAGATGATACATCTCATAGAGCCAGTTATAGCTTATGTAGCACGGATAATCTACGCCTTCGCTATGCCCTCGTTATAGCAGATGTCGGAGACAAGTACAATCGCTTCATAATATTAGTTATTTCCCCCTCCCCCTCCCTCTTCCCCGTCCCCCGCCGCCCCTGCCGCCCCTGCCACCTCTCTTCGCCTTGGGCCGCATGTCCGCGTTTCCATATAGCGGCTCCTCGCCAAACGCCATCTCGCCGAACCTCATGTAACTGATCAGACCACGGTCCACTATCGCCAGGAGGGCGTTCCGCCACCCGTGCTTGAGGCGCTTGTATACGAAGCCCGCCCCGGCCTTCCCCTCGTCCTTCTTGTCGGGCGGATCCCACGGCGTGGACAGGAGCAGGGCGTCCAGCTGTTCGAGCGTCGGGACGCTGGAGTCGCGGGCGTCTACGACGGCCATCTGGAAGTCGGGCGGCGGCGGCTTCGACTTCGTGAAGGCCGTGCTGCTCTTCCAGAGGTAGAAATGGATCTTGAAGGGGTCTTGGGGCTCGGGTACCTGGGGCGTTGGGAGGGGGGCGGGCTTGTGTCGCTGCACGAGTGCTAGTTGCTCGAATATGGGCGAATATGAGCGATATAGGCCCGGTCTCACGAGCGGACCGTACGGTGGATATCTAGCGTGCTGAGTTGATGGGCTATTCGTGCCTTGGAGAAGGGAAAGGAGCCACTGCCAGATTTCCCAGGGCGCCTGTGATGATGAGGATAACTGAAGTGGCAACGGCGTCGCTCGGAGAACCTTATAGCCTGAGCGTCGGAGGTTGGCGTAGACCTGGTACTTCTCGAGACTGATCTTGCCCCTTTCGCCGTCTCGCCCAATGAAGAGCGCGTAGGCAGCCTGTAGACTCAGAGGGGTACCGAGCTCGTAGTCCTCGAGATCCACCTGCTCCTTCTTCTCCGATGCCTCCTCTGTGTCTTCGCCTGCCGGGAAAATCTCCTCGATTCCTCGGACCGGCCACCATAAGTCTAGCGTTTCTCGCTCGATGAGGAAGAGGGCTTCTTCCGGCAATAGCCATGTCTTCAGCCAGCCCGGACTATGTTTCTCGGCACTTGTAACGACGCGGCCGGTCGAGGCTAGCATGGAACCCTTGTCTGCCTCAAGCGCAACAACCCGCTCCCTAGCAAACAGGCCCTGGCCCGAGCCTCGAGCTCTCGTCGCCTGATGACCCGGCTGTCGGTCGGTCATGGCATCGCTCGACGATTCGCTCTCTGGCGGCACGTCGGCCCATCGGTCCGGGAAGTACCATCCGCGCAAGACATTTTGAGGCTGGTGGTTACGGGTATAGCTCAAGACTTCGTGCATGGCCGAGCGGCTGGACTCGAGCACGCTCTCCTGGGCGCGTGTGCCGTGTGACTCGAAGTCCTTCTCGCCGCGCCGTATAGCCTTGCTCGAAGCCTGTTGTTTCCTGCTGGAGCCCGCGAGAAGCGAGGTGAACAGTCGAAAGTCTTGGGCTTGATCGCCGTCTTCAGCCTCGAAAGGAGCCTCATCGCTGGCGGGCGTGAGCGACGGTGGAATCAGGTCTTCATCGTCGAATGGCATTTTTAGCTAAGAGTGCTTTCTTTCTAATATCATCGATCATGCGGTGTTGTTGTTAGGAAGAAGTCTAGTACCAGGCATCCACCGTGAGGGGTAGCCCTTATACACTGTCCGTCGTACCTGCCTGCCACAGGCGGGTTGTTCTGTAGGTTAGGTAAGTAGGCGGCATGGATGGAAGCATCATTAAGTTCCGGCGCCCCACTATCTACAGAAAACCTCCGAGCTTTACAATATCACACAACAACCAACAATGAGCAAGTACCTACCTACCTTGCGGAGAGGAAATGAGACGTTGCAACAAGTCACGGGGTTGTGAAAAATATACACATATACCTATAAGACGAGGAATAGGTTCTTTAGCTAAGCAGATTAAAAAAAAACTACCGCTTATAACAAAATGAATTTAGAGAACAAAGTATTGCTATCGGGCTTAGATATTAAAGACGGGAAAGGAGCAGAGGAGACAAAACAAAAAAAAGTTTGTTTTGAGAGCTGCAGGATTCGAACCTGCGCGGTTTCCCATCGCGGGATTTATGGTATGCCATTACTGGCCGTACCTAAACACGACGCCTTAACCACTCGGCCAAACTCCCTTAATCTTATCTGTACAATAGCTAACTGAATTATGAATAGTGATGAGTCAAACACGGCGGATTAAGTGAGGATCTTGTTGTCGAGACACCACCAAGCTCGCAATTTCATAGCTACGATCTAGTTTTAATGATGGTGTCTGTCAGCTACTTGAGTTAGTGGCATGAGAATAAACTTGGTGCATAAGTAGGTAGATGTAGCTGTCATGTCATCTATGTTAAGATGAGTGTAATACTGGACTGAAATGATCTCGCCCCAGCTCGCCAACTGCGACATAGACGCATTGTCTTCAACCCTCTGGATACGCTGCCATCTTCTCACCCATACCTATCCAGATAGCCATTCACTCGTGGTCGCGTCCTTCTCCTACGACAGAGTACTCAAATTGAATCTTAATTTGTTTATTTGATTTGTGTCTTGCATATGGAGGCAGACCTGAGCAGATAATCCTTGCGCAGACCACGCAACTCCATTCTTCGGCTTCCCCGGGGTAGGTATCGCATCGCTAGATAGGATTACAGTAAGCCGTTTCCCCTCCAAGCAACAAGTTTAGGTATACTCTGATGAACTCTTTAGCAAGAGTATCAGGTGGTCCGCAACGCCTCCGGATTCAAGAGCGGTATTATTACACGCTCCGCGCAAAAGAAAAACAATCTGATCCCGACATGCGCCGGCATAGCGAGTGATGAATGTTTATATCTGCCCGCGAGAGAACCAGAGCATTTGAGTCGAATCAAGACCGCGCCTAACGCAACAAGACGCCTAAAACAACCGATGATACCGATGCACCATTGGCCTGTCAAGAGCAATCTTCCCCACCGTCCGTCAAACTGAGCACCCTCAAGACTATACGGCATGTCTTGTCCCCGTGATTCATGGGGTATTCTGAGCGAGGGGGGATCAGTGATGGTGTATCCCCTTTCTTCCCAATCCGTCTTTTTATGGTCTCCTCTCTCTCAGAAAAAGGCTGTAGTCTACCCGAACTATCTTACTTTTCAACGAGGACCACATTCGAGCCGGTCCCAATAGTCAACAGACTTTCACAATCCTAAGTGCCTGGTGGGCGAGGTAGGTCAGGGACCCCCACCAGTGAGGCCACTCGATGGGGTGCATCGAATATCTGCGGGCGTAAAATGCAACACAGGATGATCGTGCTTGTAGCAATCGGGACAAGCAATCTAATCTCTCGACCAGTCGTGGGGTATTTCGGTATCTGGAGCCAGAATAGGCGCTAGGCCGGTTATCGACGTCTAGCAAGACCTCGGGTACCGTAATGGCCATCGTCTGTAAACGGAGACAGTGGCTGCTGCTCACTGTTCACCACGGCCTGCTCCTTGTTCTTTTTGTCATCTTCATGAGGCCCGCCCTTATTCATTCGATTAGAGGCTTCTTCTGTCCTCCCACCAGACACAATCCTAATGCGGCTAAGGCGTTGGGATCGCTGTCCAATACAACATTCCGAGCTGGCAGCATGGGATTGCCCTGGTCAACGGATGAAGCATCTTTCGCCGCCTGCTCAATCGCATCCATCTCCTCTTTACAGGCTTGGTGATCAAGCGGGCAGATCACGATAGGTTGTCGCAGAGTGATGTCTCTGGCAGAAGTCATGCTCGCCTTTCACATAATTTGTTAGTGAATATCCATAAACTCCAAACGAGATGACAAAACTCCGGCGGCGCACGCATACCTTGATGCTGAGGAAAAATTCTATCTTGTAAAGAGTTGACGTTGTCGTGAAAGAGGAGACCTCGTAATTGGGGAATGCCGGCTGTCCCCTCCGAACGATTCCGTTTGAGTCACGCAAATCCTTATGTGGAAATATGACACCCATGTTCGTCACATAGCCCTCTTCGGGCAGCTTCGTGCCCACAACCTGAACGTGCTTCTGTATCCGGTTCACCTTTTTGTTTGGCTCGTCGCCCTCGGGGTTGTAGGTTATCTCCTCCTCGATGGCCAATGTGAGGCTCTTCACTGTGACTTTTCTGGCTTTGGCCATCCAGTCTAAATTTGGAGCAAGTTTGATGTAGACAGTGATAGGATCCATAGGACCATAGCTCCATTTCGGCAATGATATGACAAGCGTGACGATGTTGTCGGTTGTGGCAATCTTGGTCTCGGGGCGATTGTACATTCCAAAGGTTGATAACGTGTCGTATCGTTGCAAAGGCACTGGGAATGCGTATTTGTTCTGCACGCTTGGCCCCTGTTGTACCGTGACGACCAACTCGTAGTACGTTTCAGCGGTCCTACTAGGAAGCTGTAACGATGCGGGTGGTATCCTTCTATTTGTCTCTTCACCCCCCCGCCCGAACGGTATGAATAGAACGAAGGGCAGATCCATAGAAATAATGTTGTCGGCCGGCCTCCCAATCGCACATCGATATAGCAGAAGCTCCTTGCCAACAACATCTGTCGTCTCTCGCCGGGGCGTGCCAAGATGTCGTTTAGCTACGTTTTCCGCGGCTGGGTGGATGGTCTCTCTCCGCTGCAGACATATTCGGACTAACGAGATGGCGACAGGGGCTGAGATACCCTGTTGTGGGCGAATCTCGACCTTTCCCTCGACACGTGGCTGAAGACTTGTATTAGCTTACTATCGATCGCCATGTCACCTCCAAGCCACGAGCAGCAGATTGATAGAGACACCGGGAGGGATGTGGTTGAGCTTCAATGCGACGTCTTTCTAGGGAAATGAAAGGGCAACGAGAGCTCCGTAATGCGACAGCCAACAGAGCCAAAGCTTAAGCAATCGGTTGAACGACGACAATGCACTTACCAGGGTCGCCGAGATGCCTGGATACCCGACTAAGAAACTACTGTTTGGCGGGCCCGACACACGGACGAGGGCGGCCACTCGATCCGTCATGTTTCGTGGCACGGGAGGATCGTCATGAAGATGGTGGCTGCAGGCGGATGCGAATGGGACGGTCGATGGCGGGGTTCGAATTCGGTGGCTAATTCAGTTCGCGGCAACAATCACAGCAACGACACAGTGTTGACCGCATCTATCCCGCGCCGCGGCCGTGCGCCGGTGGTGTAGATGGTCGAGAGGAGCGAGCGCGATGACCGAATTGAGAGTGAGTATCGAGGTGGGATGAACGTCTGCGAGGTCGAGGAGGCGGTGTGAATCTGGAGAGTAGGCGATAGGCGACGAGCGTTGCAGTCGGAGGAGCGGAGGGATATGTCTTGTTATTGTCGTCGCGAAGGCCTCGGCAAAGCCCACTCACTCACTACAAGTAAGGTATGTACGAGTATGTGTGGTGTGTACGCAGTAGTGTATAACAAGAGGCAAAAGCTGATTTGTGGGGGAGAGGGAAGGTCTGCGGGAGAGCCGGCGGGAAGCAATGATGGCGTGAGTGTGTGCGTGTGTATGTGTGTGTGCGTGTGTATGTGTGTGTGTGTGTGTAATGTAGTAAGTCCGTGAGTGACTGAGTAGGTGCCTTCTTTGTCGATAGAGGTGCGAATAAGGCAACAGAGAACGGCTGTGTTGGGTTGATTTTGAATTGTTTGAATTGATGGGAGGTCCAGAGGTTCAGACTCAGTCAGACCCAGGTCGGTTACCTACAACCTCTTAGTATACCTTCGGTAGGTAAAGTAGGTTAGGTACATGTAGCAGAGATGGTAGGAGGTAGTAGTCTCTTAAGGCTGCTGCAAATGGCGGCTGCAATGGACATTGGATAGCGGCAACTTCACACCACCACGGGACGTGGAGGGAGCAGGCAAGGTACTTCCAGTACTGGCTTGGCCAGGGTGACAAGAGATGGAACGGGGAAACGAAACGAGGGTGGTGATAGAACCTTATGCCTTGGGATTCTGGGGGTATGGAGTGGAGGTGAAAGGTGAAGAGGTACAATAGGTACCTGGGGAGTTACATGTACATGTAGGTATCCACCTACAAGGTTACACTAGTACTCCTGCCACTCCACCTATTGGCTCTTTGGGGCAAGGTCTCCCCACCACCAAGGTAGGTACCTAAGTACAACAATTGCTCTCTCCCCTCTTCAAGGAAGTGTAATATCTACAGCTTCCCTCATACCTACCGACCTGGAGAGAAGCAATGATATCTTAATGGCCCGACGCAAGCATCCACCCTCTGAAGAAATAACAGCAGAAAACTACAGGTGACAAGACGCATCCGGACCCTGTGTAAACAATTTATCAAACAAGTATGCATCTGCCTAAGTTAGTACGTGGACGTGCAGCTGTATAGGTACCTACCTACATTAGGTATACAGCCCTACCTAGGTACTTTAAGGAAGTAATTACCACTTATAGACGACAATTTCTGGGTGGTGATTGGCCAGACCCTAGACTCAGACCACAAAGACATTAGAAACATGGGAGGTGGGGTAGCAGCAGCCTGAGCGGAACAACGATAGGTATCCAGGTAGGTAGGTTGTGTGTACAACGTAGCCGTGGAGATGATAGACTTGTTTACAACAATTGAAACATCAGCTTCATTTTACGATTCATAAGGTTTTGTTGAAAGTGTAATTCGGTAACAACGATGGCTCAAGGTTGCTAGATACTTTGGACACGAGCGAGCAATACACTGGTAGAAGCTGTCTCGAGGTCTCCACAAGAATCGACTTACAGACCTTACCAGTGTAGGGATCTAGAGGTACTTTTAGTGCAGAGAGAAATGCACGCTCCTTGGCACATCACAGGAGGATGGAGGATGCCGGATGTTTGGCTTGATTTGGAGTTCACGATGAGCTGAGTAAGAAAGCTGAGGGACAAGCGCCAGAAGCTGAAGAGATGGCATTTGGCTGGAAGGCTGCGAAAGGTGTCTACTTCATGGGTATACTATGAGCAATTTGAATATAGATAGGTAGCACCCATGTCTTTGATGTTTACATTTACACTCCTAATGCCTACCTACTTACATATAACCACAACGTTGCAACGCAACCTCCACGTTTCAGGTTTTTCGCAACTTATTCGAGAGGAGCCATTGGGTCACAACCCTTACCCGACTATACACCAATCGCTCTATCGTTCT